TTTTTTATGTCATATTTGGACGTGCAATGTAGTTCTATAGGTACAGAAACTGCAACAGCAACAATACTGCAATGTCCAACACATTGGAACAGGAAAAGCAGAACATGCACTTATTTGACTATAATATATCCCCTATATTCGACCTCTATGAAACATACATTTTTATAGACATTAACGGTCGATCTCGATTTTCCCAGGGGGGTTATCAGCCCCTTGATAGACTCGCTCTTGTGACCTCTATTCATAGCTGATGAACTTGGAGTGGCTCAAAAATAGAATGACAATATTTCTAGAGGACAAAATAGGTATACCCAATAATATAACAAAGTGTTCCTATATACTGACACCACTGCTTGGGGATGGAATGTAAATATTCTTTTAATAATGTTGTGGTCATATTAGCTCCTTAATATACCAGATACAATAATCAATATCAAACCAAGGAGGTCCAATTTAAAAAATGGATTTATGTTTCTCATACGAAACGACGAATTTAAGGGGCGTGGCCAAAGTACTCCATTTTTAAAAATATGGTATACAAAGTGTTAATAAAGTATGTAGACAAACTTTAACCATCGAATCCTTGGTCAATTTGAAGACGAAGTTTCCATATGAAGATGGGTCCGCAACGGCTTTGTTTTCAAGCTTGAAGCTAGGACATATTAGCACTAAGAGAAATGATGATATTATTCTAAAAAATTATAAAAGAATAGAACGTATTTTATTTTAATTACGTATGCCATGTGGAGATGATTTACAGTTGTTGTTTTCAGACGCTCCATGTACGTAGATACGCATAATGTTATCCAGCATTTTTTGAAAAAAATAGCAAGACATTGATTTGTTTTGATCGCAATACTTTTAATATTTAGTCATGACTGACAATACAAATATAGGGTATTTTGAGGAGAGTTCGTCAGTCAATGTGTATAACAGACTAGACGCCTGTATTGAAGTCGAAGTTGGCCACTTTGAACATTTGTTGTAAAAGAAACTATTAGATATTTTATTGTTGTCGTTCTATTAGAATATTACTGTTCAAAACTATTGACCTTCTAAATATTTTTTTCCAAAAATACAGGATAATACTATTTTCATCCACGTTCATATTGAGCCTCAGCAACTTTTAAAACATGCAAAATTTATCATGGGATATACCAACTGTCCAATAAATACGTTTCATTATCCATAGAAATATTTGGAACATTACTCGTATTTCTTTAGTGACCAAGGATTCGATGGTTAAAGTTTGTCTACATACTTTATTAACACCTTGTATATTGCTATGTCTTGGTGTAAAAATTACTTTGCTAGACCAGAATCGTGGGACGTGCGCCCCCTATAGACATATCCCACTAGCCACTCTTCAATTGTCGCAAGAGCATTTTCTCTTAAAAGCGATGGTTAAGTGCTAAAGCATCCAGGCGTCACTCCCCCGCCCCCCAAGGCCGCCCTTGAATAGGCTCATAATTTTCCCGTTTCTACGCTACTGATGTAGTTTGAGTCACCGTCTTTTCAGTTATTGGCTATGCTCTTCGTAACTATTATCTTGATCCACTTATTTAGTGATAGCGATATCGAAACTATAATATCGTCAACATCCTATATCTAGATAAAAAAAGGCCTTTCGGCCATTGCCATCTATCATCACTGTGTAAAATGTTTTTAAAAGCTATGAAGCATTTTTGTCTCATAGTAGAAACATAGAAGACCTGGTATTAGTTGTGGTGCATAAAAAAACCTATTGCTAGCTATTTAGTATTATTTGGGTTTTACATTTTCCCGCCCATTGATACCGGAAGTTTCCTAAATAAATACAAGCTCTATGAATCAACTGATGACATAATAATATGTATAGTTGCCTGTATATTACCATCGTTAAAAATTCATGAAGACAACCTGCTTCCGGGAACTGCGGAAAAGTGCATTACCTTTGGTTATTTTTTACTGACTGCTACCTGCAAAAGTCGCATTGGTTTCACGGAAAATTGTTCGTCTAGCTCTAGCAGAACCAGCTGGGTGTTTCAGATACATATAAACATTTATCCATAAATGCACATCACAGCTCACACGGCACAACCGTGACTTACGAGTGACTATGACTGATATTCTTCCGGCATGGGTATTAGGTAACTTGAAAAGTGACATTATGTCGGGTTTTTTTGACATTATGTAGGTTTTTTATGACATTATGTAGGTTTTTTACGTAAGAACCCTGCCGATCTCTACAAAAATTAATACGAGGGTTATCAGAAGCGTACAGACCATTTGAAAAATCAGAAATCACAAAACCACACACGACACTCTTAGCGACAACGAAATCAAGCTGTAACCACACCGAAGAGTTAAATAAAGCAAAATCTATCGATTTAACAGCTTTGCAACTCAATATTTAAAAAATTACAGGGTGAGTCATAAATTCGATGACAATTTGATGGATGTGTGCCATGTAAACTTGGGTCCTGAAATGACGCCTCACCGAGATGCAAGGTGTTGAAGCAATAACTTCTTGAATCGAAAAAAAATATTATTATTTTTGTTATTATTAAGGATGCTTAGTTTCTACCCAGTACTCGACCTACTCGAGTACCCGGTTTCGCCGAGAATTAAATTTCTGGGCCGGATAGTTACTCGGAAAGCAACACAAACCACTTGCTTAAATCAAAGTCTCGCAAGTGTGATGTGCAAATCTTAAGCACATATTCCTTTTTCCATACCTTCCTTGATTTTACCAGAACTTGTATGTCGACCGTCTTCTCCAGTAAGCTTCCTGCTGTTTTCGAAAAAAAGTACTGTAAGTCCATAGAGCAGTTGTTACAGCTGTTTAAGCTGAAGCCATGTTGTATGCAGTATTGCTTTTTTGTATGTTTATCTGTTATTTTTGTCTTCCTAAAGAACACTCATATACCACAAAAAGCGCAAAACAAAATTTATCAACCATCGAAACATAGGTGAATTATGCAAAGAAATCCTTTACTCATAAGTGATAACAGTTTAGTTCTTTCCAAATCTGAATTGGTCCCGTTACGATATTACGCAGTTTTTATTTTTGTTCCAAATCTAAAACTACCTCCCTATTATGTAAGTATTGTTTTAGAAGTGTGCTTCTGTTGTAATAGGAAAGATTGAAGAGTATATCTAAATGCTTCATGTTCCAAAAATGTCAAAATATGGTCACACCTTTAATTGAATATTGTAGCTTCTAAGTTCTTCGGTGACCTAAATTTTATGTGAAAGTCATACATATACTCGGGTACTGAAAAGGAAGAGACAGCTGAACACATCGCACGCCACTGCCAGCGCGGCATCTCTTTGAACATATGACGGGATATGAATGCAGTGACTTGTCAGTTCAAATGCAGATCACAACACCACCCCAGCAGTGGCGTGCGATGTGATTTTCTGCGCTCTTTAATTATTTACTCGCTCTATACACATCTTCTCCGGCCTGACTGAGATTATACCAGTGACGGAGAAACTGTGAATTAATAACTTCTTGAGAAAAGACAATTATTTTCCATTCCACTGACTTTCTGAAAAATTAATGCAGCACAAACAGCTATCCATAGCATGCCTTTATCGCATAGTCAGTGGCGTAGCAAGGGAGGCGGCGGCAGCGGTCCGCACCGGGTGTCACCTTTTGTGACATAACTTTAATAACAATGTACAAACATAAAAAAATTGCACAGATTGCATTGCAAAGTAAAGGCTTAACTGTTGACGAAACTGCTACAAAAATAGAGGCACTTCGTCTTTATATCGAAGAAAAACGGGCTCACATAGTGGAAGAGGCAATAGATATTGCTAAAAATCAGAAGACTACGACATTCTAACAGAAAGACGACTTCGTCGAAAAACCGGGTGGTTCGTGAGTCGGCCAGTGATGCAGGACTCACACTGAAAGAAGAACTTCTAAAAGGTATGTTCGAGTTGAACTCCAGACAAGATCGAAGTCTCTTCAAGACCTAGATTCATTGTTCGAGGTCGTCCAAAGAAATACTGCTTTTAGCGAATACTGAAGAACTGAAATTAGCTATATCCAAATTTACTGATTTTTATGATGTCTCAGTAATAGAATTGCTTTTAGAGATACCAAGACTGCGAAGACACTTAAGAGCCGCTTATGTTGCAGTTTGGGTATCTCCACATTTTTTGAAGTTTATTGTAGAATGAGATTTTACAGAGTCTCTTCCAAAACTTATGATTGCACTAAAATTGTTCATGACGGTTTGCGTATCCGTAGCTTCATGTGACAGGAGTGTCAGTAAACTAAAATGATTAAAAAACTGTTTGCGGGCAACAATGACCCAATCGCGGCTTATCAATCTTAGCATATTAGCGATTGAAGATGAGGCAATACAAAATATAAATTTTGATGAAGTTATTTCTGAGTTTGCAGCTGTCAAAGCTAGAAAGAAGAGATTTTAATTCTAAGATAAAAAAAAATGTTTCTTAGTTTTTATTGTGTTTTGTTATTTGTTCAATATTTTAAATATAAATATTAAACGATCCCTGATGTTTATAAATCATATGAAATTTATTGCTTTTGACTTTCGATTGGGCGACATCACCAACTTCCGCACCGGGTGCCACCCAAGGTAGCTACGCCACTGCGCATAGTCGCAGTCGGTGCAACCAATCTTTACATTATTATTACTCATTTTCTTTTATTATTATCTCCTTGATCACATCGTATTACGGCAGGTAAATGGAAGCAGTAGCTCGATTTTTACTCTTCTTGATACCTCACTGTGCACAATCTGCAAACATTGTAAAGTTCTCAACGTTCTAATTTTCAGTATTATGACATCGCCACTCAGCGGCGTGTAATGGCTTATGTCGTCTTAAAAGTGCAGTCCAAGAACATTGTAAAAATCCGAGAGGTCATCGACCTTGACCTCAGCCCTCGACCCATCCCAACTTTCCGGAAATCTGCAAACTACCGTCCTGAAACATCAAGATGGCAACACCGCCTCATCGACCAGGTTTCAGCCGTGTGGCACGCGGTTCCCGGATTGGCCGGCGTCCGTGGCCTGACCCGGCGCCGCGCTCGCCATCTTCACCGTTCCGATAAATGCCGCCACAACCGCCTGTTCAAGACAGTTTGATAGCCGCTACTCGCGTGCTGACTTGCGACGTTGCCACATTTACGCACCCCCGAAACAACCCCCTGTATCTGAAAACGTCGCGAGTGATACGCTGTGATATTTTCGCATTTGACAACTCTACGAAGGATATTTATACGTTTTAGGTTTAGAAAAGTGAGTAATGATTTCTCTGTTTACATCCCTGAGATTTCAGAACGCTCTAGTTTCTTATTTAAGCATTAATTCATAATCATTTTAATTTCTCATTTCCTTAGTTGTTTAATTCCTAAATTACTTATTCTATTCTAATAACTGAATTAACCCTATTTTCCATCTAATTGATCAGAATTTTATTTTGGCAATTTAAAGTTTTTTTCAAATGAAAGATTAAAATGAAAATAAAATTGCGATTTAATAAAAAAATTCATAACTATTAGAATATAATGTAATCATTTTAAGGATTTGGTTCAATCAAATTCAAATTATCTAATTCTAGAAATCCTAATACCTGCATGTATGTATTTTTTAAACATTTTTTACGATATGAGATCAGTATGCACATCCGTCTATAACAAGTCTATATTAACTATGTTAATTTGTTAACTATTTACAATGATACTTCCAGCGCCCACTCTATATTGATGCCCTCTTGTCTTGAAAACTAGAATTAGTAATATAGTAAAGTGCATTTAGGTGAAAAATGAAAGTGTGATGCGAATTCACTTCCCACGTGATAAAAAGTATTCTTAAAATTATTTTATTCTTAGTTGAAGAACTCATTATCAGCGACGTTGCGATGGCAAAATCCGGTTGTGTGATACTCCAAAACAGCATTTTCATCTCGCCCTTACACCATGGGGCCCGATTATGAGTTTAGACCGTTAAAATTAATTTCGATATCGCTTTGACGTCATACATTTAAACCGCTTTGACGGTAGAAATTCCCTAGAATCAGGTGTCGAAATTATCACATATATGCCACGATAATTTGAATAGGGAAATTCCCTAGAATCTGGTGTCAAAATTGTTACATGTACGACGGAAAGGCGACATCGAAATCAATTTCAACGGTCGAAATTCAGTTAGGATGAAATCCCTGAATCAACGATAGGGGGTATGAAAAGCTTGTGAAAAACCAGAAGCTCCATTCCTGGTACCTCGTAAAAGATAGTCCTCAACCAGTTCGGTGTATGGAGGACTTTATATTCTTGTTAGAAGAAATCAGGATGCGACTGTCTTTCCATAACTTCCATTCCCTCCAGATTCTGAAGTTTCGAAAAACTGTTTTACTGAAAACTTAACTAGATGAGCAGGAGTGTCCTTCTCCTCGTTGCAATATACGTCATTGGCATATTATCTCTTTCCTGTCCTTTTTAGGCAGTTGTAGTTGAGAACCTCCCTCCTCCCAGAAGTATGCAAAGAGTTAGTTAATGATATAATAGAACATTTGTCAAACAGAACTGAAACATTGAAAAGTTAGAACTTGCTACCAATGACTTGTCTAGTTGGCGAAAATTCACAAAAATAACAACTCTGACTTCTGAATTACAAAATGATCTATAAATAATCAATAAATACACTTTTCAGAATTAAAAATCCTGACTTACAACTCATTTTTTGTCGAGTCGGTAAAAACTGACAAAAGTTGCAATGTGCAACAATATCTAACCAAAAACTTGAGAAGCAGAAGTATCGCGCGTTACTTGAAGTGTTCCGAATTGGAGAAATTATAATAAATTAGTAAAATAACTAGAACGAAGCTGTAGATAAAATGGGTCCTGATTTTTCATAAAATATGTGTTGTTCATTGAAAATTGAAGTTCATATCTGTCTGCCATCAGCAGTTCGACAACGAATGTATTAGATGCTTTTGACAGTGCTGCTCAACAAATTGAGGTCTGATAAAATGTTCGGAAGTATTATGTTTTTCAAGAAAATTTAACTGTTGAGGTTTATTGAAAAATTACGACCGTAAAAAGTGTCACACTGAAGTCATGACCAATGATAATCTTTTTGTTTATTAAATTTTATATTTCGGCAAATTTTATATTTTATGTATTTTCTTATTAAATAATTAAAAAACATTGTGCGTAATTACGCACCAACCGGTTATGTATAACAAAAGATGGCAAATTTGGCTAAATGTCGAAAAAAAATAGTATAATACAATTTCCTTCCCTACTTCCCGTTCGTTCTCGTGTGTTCGCAGCGTACATGCAACAATAACAATTTATGACTGCTAAATGTGTATAATATGTATGCATAATAAAAATGTGAGTACCTAAATATTGTGACAACACCATATGTGGCTTTCCTAGCAAATAGATTTTTAGTAGTGTTAGATTTTCACATTGAGTTTAGGACTCATTTCTCTTTTAATAGCTTTGACAACGTATTCGTATATATTGCAGCTCAGTGCTACATTTTAAATCAATGAATTTATGAACTTGTGTCTTCATTGAATTGTTTTTATAGATAAATATATAAAATACGAAACGCAATACAAAATAAAAATTGTTCAGCCTCTATATTTATTATTTCACATATAAATGCTAACCATTTCGTATAAGCTAATAGAATTTACAAATGATCGAATCCATTGGATAAAAGACCACCACGAAAAACCATCCTTAATATACACAACTTGATCAATAATTTATATAATTAGTATTATATTTATGTCGTTAGTTTTAAATATATACAAAGCTGATAGCAATAAATTATGATATTTTGAATGTGCAAGGCTTTTGATTGATAGAGCTAATAGTCGTCATGTCACGTGTCCCACAGTGCTTGTTGCGAATGTACATTTGATTGCCATCTTTACAGTTGTATGAACAAATTTAAAATTGTGGCATTTAATAGCTAACCCTCGATTTTATGAATCAGCATGAAATCATATTAAGCACGTTTGGTAAAAAAATTATTTGTGAATTTCCAAAAACAGAATTTGTATATGAATCTTGTAGATTAGACATGTTATTCTCTAGGAGAGAAATAATATTTATCAAATGAATGATTAAATTATGTGTATATTACTTAAAAAATCAATGATTTGACGCAGACCGAGGGATCAGAAATGTACAGACTTTCTTGAAACAAACTCACTATCTGTCAAAATCTTATAATTTTGCTTAATTGATTCATCAATGTCTTAAGGATATTGACGATCTGTATTCTGCCCTTGAAGCGAATATGAATCATTCACTGGTTCTTTTTCCTGGCCTGCAGAAAACAAGGCGATACATGATCCTGATATTTTACTTACCGAAAAATCAGGAAATGACCAGGTTGTGAATCGTCAGGCGTTAGTGAAGATACATAATGCCTATTATCTAGAAGGAATGCATTATTTTCTTAATTATGTTTTTAAACATGCCTGCATCTTCTACAAGCCACAATGAGGCATTAGTTTGTAGATTAAATTTCCGAAGGAAGGGAGCATATATAGAAATAGTTCATTAAACTACGTTGTTTATTACGATAATTAAACGAAACATATAAAAACCACTGAAAATCAATATAACCAGCATGAAATTATCGTATTTTTTGTATTGAAGTAAAAAATAATAATGCTTTCGGTGTTGCCTATTTTTTGCATTCAATGAGCTCGTGATACAATCCATAATTATATATTGTTGTTTACATAACATTACGTTGTCAAATATTACTGCAAAATTGCAGGAACTACTGCATTACCTATCTGAATGACCACTTAGATCTAATATATATTATGTATGTATCTTCTATATTGGATTTTTTATTATTGCTCTAATCATCTATTTGACTGATGACTAACCAATAGTAGGTACGTATATCATATAATATTACGTGTGGCGAATTTTAATATAGCTGTACAAATGATAAAAGAATATTGAAAATTTCCAGTGAATTTAGCACAATTACTGTTAGTCTAATCATATTAGACGAAAATACACCTGGTTTACAAAATAATTGTAAAGTCTGGTTTTATTGCTACAAGTTGTTCAAGGGGGTATCCGAAACATGGACGCATAAAATGGGTACAAAAATTTTTGTGGGAAAACTTTTTATTCGACAACAAAGAATGAGAAAACGTGTTTTTTTTGGGTTCAATCGAAAGTATTGACAGAAACAAAAGAACTGTTCATACAAGATTTTTAGGTATTTATGAGACCTACACAATGAGACCACACCTAAAAAGATCCGACTAATAGCAAAAAAGTGATGGCCGAAAACCGATGCAAACTGCAGGTTTTAGCACTTGTTGGTAATGCGACGATGGTTTCTCGCAGATATACGTATTTGAAATTCTTCAAATTCGTAAGATCCGTACTTCTAAATAATCACAACAAAATTGGAGTAGATTGGTCAAGTAGTTTTTGAGAATTTCTAATTGTTTATCCCAAAAACACCTGTTTTCCGGCCATCACTCACTACTAGTTTACTGAGCAATATACAGGGTTAGTTCAAAGGGCATTTTATAGCAAAACATACTTGCTTACCTTGCCGATATGAATCGCAAACCATTGCGGAAGATAAATGTTATCTTTATGCAAAAAAGGATGGGTTACGTTTTTTCTTCCAAACAAATTCAAACATTTCCTATTTGTGAGTAATTCGCACCAAAAGATGATAGATAGGGGAGACTCGGGCAAAAGGAACCACCTTAAGTCGCCAGCTTTTAAAATCTTCTATTAAATCTTAATTATTATCTAATTTTAAATAAGACTATTACATTTAGAAACAAAATATATATTATACAAATATATAGTTATAGTAATATATCTTAAAAAAACATTAAACGAAAACATGCTTTTGATTCCTTTTGCCCACATATGAGAGGCAAAATAATCAGCGCATGAAATACATATGGGCAAGAAGAACTTTATTTCAAGCATAACTAAAAGTGGAAGTATATTAACGGTTATTTATTAACTCAAAACTGATAACTTGCATTTGTCGCAAATATAGATGCCTCTGTTGTAATCAGCACATAATTGATGAGCCCAGTTTTGACACATATTGCATTCAATCCGTGTTTCGCTAAACTTAGAGTTGCCAAAAATATCTCCGCAAACGAGGCATGGTACATTTTCTTCATTATATTATTTAAATTATCAAAAAATAACTGCACTTGTGCCCTGCTAAATCCACAAGCCCGAGCAATGCTTGTAGGTTCTGGAGTTCTAAGG